GATGCATGATGGTTCGCCACCCCTGCCCTAGACCTTCGGGTTAATTGAAGCTGCTTAAATTCTCTTCACATGATAATTGACAGGCCTTCATCCAACCATTGCTTACACTTTCAGTGGATACCCTCACATGTTGGGGTTGATGGGAATGAGAGAGCTGACTTCCTGGCCAAATCCGCTGTCGAAGAAGACACTGATCGTTGTGGGAAGCTTACCTTTAGTGAAATTTCTTCCCTGGCAAAAATGAAATTAAACAAGACCGTAAGAACTCCTCCCAACCACTCTTGGTATTTTGCAAAAAAAACCGGGAGAATCTTTCAATCTTAGACCGAGAGCCCATCAAACTGCCTTTTCACGCTTCTTGAGTGGCCACACTAGATCCCTTACTTTCAACCGTGGCCAAAAAACTTATCCTGAATGTCATTGGTGCTCGACAGACATGGCCTCCCCAACGCATATTCTGACTTGTTTGGTGTTCGGTAAAGATGAGATCCTGCGAGACTCCAGTCTTTTTATGGACTTTTTGGTGGTGTTCGGATTCATGGGAGTCATCTAGCGCTGCTAGACGATTCCGAGATCAGCAACAACAACTTCTTCTCTAGTTGCAAGTATATTGCTTTTTTGCAATAGTTCCTGCGAAACACGAGGACGTTTCTAATAGCTTTCTAGATAACAAAATACTTCTAATGTTGATCGACTGATTCAATTCATAATTTATTTAAAAGACAAATTCCAGATAAATTTACTTGTAATAATAGAACCTGAAATAAAAACCTATCTATCAAAATAATAAATTTGATTGCTCGTCCAACATTATACAGCAAAGGTCGTATTTTTATAAAAATAGATTTCTGAAATTTTTTCTTCTAAACATAGAAATTGGAGCATATTCCGAATTACTCATGCCGTTTATAAAAAATGAAAAGTTAAATTTAGTTCTCTCCGTGCGTAGTCTCTCTTAACGTGCAATCTCACCTAGGTTTAACTTGTATTTGATCAGACCCGTTCGTAATGTGTTTTCTTAAAAATATTTATGACTCAACACAAAAGTGTTATTATTCTAAACCGTCGTCGCCTTCCAGGTGTTAGCGATTAGAAAAGTTTGCTTTTATCTTCAAATTAATATTTTTTAAAATAAAATGTATAAATTTTTCAATTTGTTTTATTACTATCATAATAGGTAGTAATGAAATGTAATAGTTCCTCCATAGGAATATACCCTCCACAATAATGTTGAATCAGTCCAAAATGTGTCTAGATATGCTCGTATATCATAATATATGAGAGATCAGAGTTCTATCCCCGAAGGTAGCTTCAAACTCTCTTGAAAGTTTGCCAGAGAAGTAAGGCGGTAGGTGCGTAATATTGACCACATTGGTTCAACGTATCGGTGAATTTGACATTGTAGAATGTAAGTTCTATAATTAATAAGCTGGTTGTTGCAGGAGGATTTTATTTGCAACCATAATCACGTTTTTAAATGTGTCAAAATGAATATTTTACCTATATTTACCTATATACAGAAGCGAAAATTTTAACATCAAGACGATGTATACCATTATTATCTTTTCTTTATAGACAGAGTTGGGTCACGTAGTATAAAGGCAAGCTTATTCAAGCAATATAATTTCTTTCTTTATAGTTTGTCATCGTTTTGTAATTAACGTCGCGCTACAGCTACACTAATGATCTATTGGTGACAGTCTCAGAAGTCATGCTTGATAATGATTCCATGTTAATCAATCCGCTTGCTCACACGATAATTTAGATCGGATGGAAGATAGCAGTTGAAATCATGCGGCCTGCACCACACTTCCTTACCATCGAACTGTATGCCGAACTCTTAAGCCGCCATTACAAGTAGAATAAAATTACGACTCACTGAGACATGATCAGAAAGAATGCCGTCTGATAAGACTCCCAGCCATTAAGTAGTTACTAAACTACTACTTTTTAAAGTAGTTATTTAGCACGGGGAAACGAACCCAAGGTCAAGCCCACCATACCGAATAGGTGTCCTTTTTTAAATTCATGACTTTTGGTTAGGTGTAAATTATTTTCACCTGCATGAAGCAAAGTTCAAAAAAATATGTCGCTCTCGACTGATAATATTGTAAAGTAAAGCAAAGCCAAAAGAATCATGGCGGCCAAGGCTCAACAATATCATGACTAAAAGCATAATTATGACAATGTGGCCAACATTGCGCACAGGCTACTTTTACTTTCCGGATAAGATGGCACACATCGATCTGAAGATGGGCGGGCTTAAAGCCACTATTGAGGATCGAGCTCCTGATTTCCATTATGATAGCTCAGTAAATTAAACCCCTACACCACACCAGTAAATTAACATCCTAAAGTAGATTGCAGAAAACTTTGAATACTCTGGATTACTAAACTGAAAAATTAACCCCTCGTTTATTCAGGGTGATGACGATTGAAATAATTACATAACAATTTTATACTTCAATTAAATGAAAACAGCTCTGGGGGATGCAGGATTTATATACGTAAAAAAATCCAAATATGTAGATTTTACACGATTATTTTCATAATATATTTAATAAGTATTGTTAATTTTTATTTAGTAGTTGTTTTCGCTTATAGAAGCGTTAAGTTATAAATTTAATTCGCACCCCCATTTATTATCTACGTTCATTCTCTGTCTTTATATGAAAATGTAAATAAATTTATGGACTTGGATTAATAAAAACACTCCAATAAAATTACTTGAAGGTGACATGCGGAACTGTTTAACGTTGATAGCTTGGGCAATGGAGCAGTAATTGTTCAAACAAACTTTATTGCAGTAGAAAGGAAAAAAAAATAACTGACTTTAAAATGGGTTTCCCATAATGTTAAACAAATAGGTTGGGTTTTCTTTTATTGATAATGTGAGTAGTAAATGTTAACCATATCAACAGATTTAATAAGAAAATGTTCAAGGACATAATATTCGTCAATGATTTTGATTTTATTGTTGTCGAATCATTGAGTGAGGAAATCGAAAATTAAAAACTAACAGTCTTCTTTGATTTTCATTTAGGAGGCATTCGATCACCTTTGAGGCCACAACCTTTCTACTTGCAGGTATCAAGCATAAATAATCTCAGTTGTTTCATTTTTTAAAATTTTTATTTTTAACTTCTTAAATAAGTGAAAACCAATGATATCTATTGTAAACTTGTACTGATAATATATTTATTTATAATATATCTATTTATAATATATTTAATAAATACTTTAAAAAAATATAAAATTTTTATGCATGTATGTAACAAGTTATCTTAATTTTAACTTAACACTACAAATAGAATTTTAAAATTGATCTTTAATTTTCTACCAATATTTTCGTCATTAAGTGAATAGTTATTAGAGCTCTTTTTAAGACCTCCTTTTTTATAAGCGATATTAATAAAATAAAATCATAGTAAGTATAGTCGATATTTACTATGAACTTACAATACATTTTCAGTACTTACTATACATTTTCTTAAGAAAATATTATCTGCAATCAAAATATTTGGATGTTGGTTGTAGGCTGGAATTGTAATTAAAATATGTGGAGGAATTTTTGATTTTTTTAAACGAAATATACGGGATTACATTTAAAAAATATGTTTTGTTTTTGTGAATTTATATGATATTGTAGTGTTTGTATAGGAGATATAGTGAACTCGGTTAAACAATACAGGACAAAATATCTGTTAGTACTGTATATTTTCCGTACAATCTGCACTAAAATAGAAATGTGAAAGTAAAAAGTAAAGTAAAAATAAAAAAGTAAAAATAAATATGTGTTGAAGTGATTTCCCTTTAAATTGTTTATAGTGAAATTTATAATTTTACTTGTATAATTTTTTTCTTCAGAATTTAGCCAAACATTTATGTTTCCATATCTAATTTTGCATTTAATAAATGCAAATACGAATATGGTTTAATGAAAATCTAACACATCTAGTTAATAAATATATAATATTGCTCAAAGCAAAAACATTTTGAAACATACATGTTGAATAAATACATGAATCTACATAATATATTAGAATTTTATATTCGATTATCTTAAATTAAATATTCGACGTCGAGAAAGGTATGAAACATTCAGAGTCAAATAATTACTACTTAAATAGCTTAAAATAACAAATTTGCTAAATATTTTTTAATAATTTCTCGCATTTCAAAAAGCAAACTTTTACTGAAAACCATTCGGAACAAAGGTGTAAATTTTGTTACCAGCAAAATTCGTCTCCTTAAAATAGTGAAATAGTGGCTAAATTTTTAAAGTAATTTGAAATAACTACATTTAAAAAGTGTAGTTTTAATTGTAGTTAACTGCATTTCTAATAAAGAAGTAGGAACTGTACTTAAGTACATTTGTAGTGAAACAGTTGTGAATGTATTTGTAATAAAGTAGCTGCAAATAATTTAGTTTTTCTAATCACTGAGTTGACTAATATATATGCTTGAAAAAAATATTTGGGAACATATATGCTATCCAAGTCTTATAGTCTAACTAATAATAAGCTCGTTAAAAATAAATTGATTTAGGAACATAGAAATGCAAGTATATTATAAATCTAGTAAAGTTTAGTTAAAAAATTGATAAGCTTATATAAAATAATGTTAATTTGGATTATAAGTTAGATAATATATGTTATAAAGACGATTTTTACATAATGTTAGATAAATTCGAGAAATAGTACTGCATAGGTCAGGAAATCTAAAAGTTAATAGATAACCTTGTTAACAATATTAAATTGAATTGCCACCACCTGTGTTAAATAACTGTAAGAACTTATGTGGTATATTTGAAATCTAACATGGACTAGTAGATTAATAGATAAGAAACAAAACTCCCTTAATAAGTCAGAATGTGTTGGGTTTGAGGGATTCAAGGATACTGAGTTTTGACAGGTATTGAGGATCAGGTCTGCTCTAGCGATCACACCTTTTTTTAGCCCTTTCTCGAGTATCGTATGGCTTCCCGGGAGACGTTTCAAATAAAGTCATGTGACTGCAGATTAACATCAAATGAATAGGCATTCAGTACCGTCAATATACTCAGTCTCAGGAACTGTTAAGGAAGTTTTGCGTTATCATCTTCTTCCAAATCGTACACCACAAGGTATATCCAGTATTTACTTAAAATGCAAAATCATTTAAAATTTAACTCGTGTAACATCATAAATTTTTATTTCTCAGCTTCTTTTAAAGCTTCATTAAATTCAGTTTCTTTGGTTTGTGATATCCTAAATATTCATTTCTCATCTTCTTTTAAATTTTCATTAAATACATTCATTAACATTCATTTATTAATTTGAAATATCCTAAATATTAAGTTCTCAAATTTTTTTAACCTTCTTTTAATTTTATTTTTAAGTTTGCAATATGATATATTTTAATTTCCTATCTTCTTTTAAATTTTCATTAAATGCAATTTTTTAGTTTGTAATGTCATAGATATTTATTTCTCATCTTATTTCTAAAAGCTATTGAAGCTAGTTAAAAGTCTTCATTAAATTCGACTTCTTACTTTGTAATATCCTAAATATTAATTTCTTACCGTCTTTTTGAGCTTCTTTTAATTCAATTTTTTTAGTTAGTGACATCCTACATTTTAATTTCTGACCTTCTTTTGAATTTAAAATTCAATTCAATCCAATTTTATTAAATTTATTTTTTTAGTACTTATTATCACAAGTTTTAGTTTCTTGCCTTCATTTAAAGCACATATATTGACTTATAGGCATGATATTTACTTAAAATGTAAATAGATTAATCCGACTTAATAGGTTCTATTCTTGTCAGTTTTAATGTTAAGCTAGAATTGTCGTTGATTAGTTTAAAATTAAAAAAAAAAGTTTTCAGTCTAAAAGCTTACTTTACTTAAGAGATATCTTTTTTTTAGCCTAGATTTAAAGCATTGAAACAATAAATAGTAAATTGAATTCTGAAATATTATCATTCAACTTGCAATATTGCAATATTTAATGTTTTTATGCATTTTTTTCTATAAAATTCAAACAGAATAACCCCTCCAAGAATCGGGTAGTCTGCGTGCTGAAACTTAGAGACTTCATAACTTTTAAAATTAATTATAATTGAATTCGAGACCTTACTTATTTTCTGGTAATAAAGACGATTTTAACATAATGTAATATTTACCGCACTTTTCAATTTTTGCTTATGTTTTGTCCCTTGTAACTTTAAATTATATATAAAAGTATTCCTCTGTCTATATTTTAATCTTAGATCTTAATCTTTGTTTTTAGAATGGATCTAAATGAATACAGAAGTCATGGTGAGTACCTTATTTGATTTCGTCATATATTTTAAGAGTATTTCTTTTTATAAAAAAAGTATTTCATAGACTCAAGATTATGATAATTTATTTCATAATTATATGGTTTTAGTTTCATAATTATATAGATTTAGTTTCAAAATATTACATTACTTACACTAGGATTTAAGTTTGAATGAATATTTCAAATTAAGTATTGTTTTCAACATACACTGCTCAAAACAATTAAAGGATATTGTAAGTCTTGTCAATTATAAAATAAAGGTGTAAACAAATTTTTTTGTGTGTATAAAATTAAAGAAGAGAGTCGCAAGTGCAAATTTTTCTTATTTTCAAACTTCGCAGTATGCAAATTTTGAGTTTGTTGTCGAAGACGATGCTTTAGCAGCAGCGAAGTTGATTTGGCTTTTAACTTAATGTAAGACAAAGTGGAAAAGAATGATCGACATTCAGTTAGCGCATTGTTTCGATGAGTGCGATGTCTCAACGAAGTCATTTAACTGAATCAGAAGTTCGGAGAGCTGTTGGCTGGATAGAGGGGGGCCAAACACAAGCCACTGGAGTTTTTTTAAATTTTTATTTTTTATAACCGTCGTTGAGCAGCCGATCCAATTTTATGGGTTTATGACTAGCAATGTTCAACTCCGTAGCTTTGTAATTTTGAACCCAATACAGAAGACAAGGGTACTCCTGGATCGAGTATTGGGAGAAATTTGCCTTCGTGGATGACTTTTTGAGGGAGCTAACCGCATTTGCGTTACATGGAGAGGAAGACCACGAGAAAGTCCCACGGTTAGCCTGACGGCAAGGGAACTCTAACCCGTGATCCGTCTACCACTAAGGATATTTCATATCAGCACTGTTATCAGTGCAAGCCGGATGCGGAATTCGTATCGACTGGGATTCGAATCGATTCACCTCATTGGAAGGCGAACGCTCTATCCCCTGAGCCATCATGGCTCAGCCATTGGAGTTTTATTTTATAACCGTCGTTGAACAGCCGACCCAATTTCATGGGTTTACGACTACTTACGTTCAACTCCGTAGCCTTGTAATTTTGAACCAATCCAGAAGACAAGGAAACTCCTGAGGTATTGATTTGTTGTGGGAACATGGAGGACTTTGAGACTCGACAGATTTAACGTGCATCAGTCACCATTTACTACACGGGGAGTCTTCGGCCGGCGAGGATCGAACCCACGACCTCTTGGATATGGGCCCAGCGCCCTACCGACCAGGCTATCCCGGCCCTCAGCCATTGGAGTTTAACAAAGTGTCATTTACAGGAACTGTTTTTTGAGACTGGAAGTACAGGCCGAAGATCAGTGCAAAAGTCTAGACGTGCAACAACGCCCTATAAAGCTATCTTGGAAACACCGAAATATGAATGCCACTCTTCTTCTACAAAAGCTTCGATCGGCTACTGGCGCCACAGTATCGACGCAAACTGTCCGAAATCGCCTTCACGCTGTAGGTTTGTATGCTCGCAGACCAATGGTGCGTATCACGTTAACAACAAAGCACCGACGCGCCCTCAGGGAGTGGGCTACAGAGGATGTGAACTGGAGTAGAAATGAATGGCGGAATATTCCTTTCTCTGACGAGCCAAGTTTTTCTGTTCATCCTGATAATAGGCGTATTTTCATTTGGAGGGAACGTGGCACTAGAAACAATCCTGCTCACGTGCACGCAAATGTAAGATTTGGCGGTAGGAGAGTGATGGTCTATGTTGATGGGTGCACCGATCTCCATATCATTTGAAATGGAACTCTGACAGGTCTCCGATAAAGAGATGAGATCCTGAGACCTATTGTAGTCCCTTAAGCTGCAGCAATTGAAGATGAATTCATGTTAATGGATGACAATTGCAGGCCACATCGTGCTAACTTGGTGAATGATTTCTTTTTGGAGGAAGGAATCAAACGAATGGATTGGACAACGTGTTCTCCAGGAATGAACCCAATCGAGCATGTTTGGGACATTCTAAGCAGACCAATTCCTGTACGACTATCAGCCCCACAATCTCTCCAAAAACTGGAAAGAGCTCTTCTGGAGGAGTGAGACAGAATATTCCAGCCCTTCATTAATAACCTCATTGACTCGATGCCTCAAAGGTATTCAACGTTGCTGGCCGTCCTAGGAAACCATTTCCTCACTAAAAACGATTTTCTTTTAAGCAAGCACTTTTCTTTACTTGTTTTTCTCTTCTGAACAAATCGTGCTTTTTTCCCTTTTTTTTTATCGCTCAATAAAGCTCATTTTTTCCTACCGAACAAACATCACTTTCATCTCATATAAAAAAAATATATCTTTTATCTCATGTAAGCGTCTGTTGATAATATATCTATCATTCAGACAATTCTCCAGGTGCAAGTTCAACCTACAACTTCAATATCCTTTAATTGTTTTGATCATTGTATTTCAAACTTAGCAGTGCTTTTAATACCCGCAGGTAAATAGGGAGCAGTAGCCGTAAATGCATGATTTATCAATCACGATTTAAAATTTTTAGCTAATTGGTTTCCTATTTTTACTCATAAGTATAAATATAAACATAATATAATAATATTATGTAATATGTAATATGTAATATGTTATATANTATTACGCACATTCATATATTATCTCCATGTGAATATATATATATATATATATTACATAATTATAATTAAAGTAGCATAATAGTTTGATTATGAAAAAGATTATTTAATTTGTAGAATTAGGCGATTCAATGGCAAAATTGCTTCTTAATTACTAGCTCACTTTTTTTTCTTTTTTTCAACTGAAACTTTACTTCATTTTGAAAATGAAATACGAAGAATACGCAGAAGATCCATCATGATAACAAGGAAACCAATGAGCAAACCTGATAAAGCATATAATTTAATATTTTCTAAAAATAAATAGAAAATAAGATAATTTTGACAAAATGGAAAAGTATTGAAACAGAAACAGAAAATACAATTAAAAGTTTATCCAATGATTAATGGAAGTAATTTCATTTGAAAAAAATATACCAGTTGAGAGAAAGGGTTAAGTACTAACAAATTGATAATGTAATAGCAAATGAAGTTTTGAAACATATTTTCTGAATCTTCACAAAAGTTTTATAAAAAAAACTATGCCCTTTAAGGTCACGGATTAATGCTTAAGTGGAGAAGAAAAAAAAACGCTATCAAAATTTTACGAATTACTACTGAGGAAGGTGGAACTGAAATCATCAAAAGATATTTGATTGCTAGAGGAAACAGAGAGGAATTGATAGACAGCTATTAGAAACACCTTCGAATTTCCCCAAACATTTAAATTAATTTTATTGGATATCAAACTGTTTTCTACACTAAGGATTCATCGGATTTCGAAAGAATTTTTTTTTTCTCTGATAAGTATTAAAATTTGCTATCCCTTTATGGGCAAATATTTTTACTTAATTTTTTACAAAGGTTCTAAAAATATATATCACTATTAAAATATATATCACTAAAAATATATATCATCGGTAAACTATTTTAAAATAATAAAAAAATTTATATGAAAATGGAAAAAAGAGGAAAAATATTTGTTTGTCTACTGGCCATTGCAAATGATATCATTAGTGAATGTTTTTAAATTAGAAAGATGGATTGTCATCCACGGTGGTTTCCGTCCAAGTTCTTCAGTATTGGTTCGTAAAATTTTGTAAGCGTTTTTGTATTTTCTCCGCTTAAACATCTGTATCCCTTACTATACATACTTTTTTATTATTTCATTTTTTGCGAAGATTCTAAAAATATATCGACCAAAAAATTGGAAATGGTTTACATGAACAGTCCCTGATTATTACACACTGTAAAAAATTCCGGATCGAATCAAATTTCGGTACGGCATTTTGCGTGCATCATCCCATAAATCCATTATTGTCGTAAAACATTATACAGTAATTTTTACAGTAACATTTATTTAATTAGAGTGTTTCAGTGGTTTTAAGGTTAATATTACTGTAAAGACTGCAGTATATCAGATATTTTTGTTCTGTAACAGGTTCCGGTAAAAAATGGATTTTAGACTAAAGTACCAGCACCCTGAGTGCTGGTATTTTTTACCGTAATTTGATCTGGATTTTTTCACAGTATAAATACTACAGTGTCTTCTTATCATTTCTTAATCTTGCTTAGAAACACAACGTGTTGTTTTTCAGGATATGCAATGGTAGATTACATTGCAAATTACTTAGAGACTATTCGTAGTCGACGAGTATTTCCGGATGTTAAGCCAGGTTATCTTCGACCTCTGCTCCCGGATTCAGCTCCAGAGGAAGGAGAAAACTTCTCTGATATCTTTCAAGATTTTGAACGTGTTATAATGCCAGGGGTACGTTTTGTTGAAATGTACAACTAATGTGTATATATTAGGGGGACCGGAAAGTAATGTCGTTTCGGAGCATTAAATATTCGCTTGTCTTAAAAAACCAATTAATTTTTTTTTATCCATTTCGATTCATTTTCAATCTCGCATTGAAAGTTTGTTGCTAATGAATGTGAATACATTATGGATTAAAAATAAAATCTTGATACCAAATATCAAATTCACCGAAACGGCATTAATTTTCGGTTCCCCTAATATTTTATTTATAAAATTACGTACTTAATTTAGATAAATGTGATACGTTTTTCACTAAATCCTGTTAAGTGAATGTCCAGAAATAGCAGTAAAAAACGCAGTAATTGAAAACTAAATTAATTAAATAGTTTTTCAGTAATTAAATATATTATTAACTAATATTTAACACAACTTTATTTTTTTTATTTTGTATTTTTAATCATACTTCTGAATATTAAAAACTGTTTTGCACTTGTTAATCAACATTATAGTGCAAATATCATAACATTATAACTCTTATGGGTTTTATTAGTTTGTTTTAAAACACATGTAAAAAGTACCTAATTTTTACATTATATTAAAATCCATTGATTTTATGACAAAAAATTAAAATCTAATTGCATCATAATTTTACAGTCATAAATTACAACCGCTATACATGAATTACAACCGTAACTATACATTCTTCTACACTGAAAAAAAAAGTATAGTTAAAACTACCAGAATATGGTAAAATTTACTGTGTTTCTGCCGCATGGAAACACCAAAAAGCTCGGTAATTTTCTGAAACGCTTTGGTAATAATTTTGGTTAAATTAGCAGTGAAATATAGATTTATATTATGCAATAAAGTTTGGTAAGTTAAATTGCATGTTCTAGGTTTAAATATTAGGTAGTCTGTCATGATATCTTGGAGCATGCTATAGAAACTATTTATTCGGTTAAATTCACTTTTCAGTTTTGTATTTTTTATTAAATATGTGGTAATAAGAACTATAAAAAAACACAGAAAACCAGAAATTCCTGTATGCCGTTGTCATATAAATGAACGGTTTAATTACCGTATATTTTAGTTTTTATTACCAGAATTAAGTTTTCTTTCGTCCGAAAGTTATTAGAATACAGTACGATAATTTTACCGGAATTTTTTTCATTGTGTATAAAGCTAATGACAGTTTAAAACATAACAGTCTAAAATACGATATTTCATTTAATGAAAACAATTTTTGCTTATTATGTGCAACAAAGTAAGTGACAAATTAATTGATGAAAAGCATACTTTTTATTTCGAAAACAGATCACTCATTGGCAATCTCCTCAGATGCACGCGTATTTTCCAGCTCTCAACAGCCCTGCATCACTTCTAGGTGATATGCTGGCTGATGGTTTATGTAACATCGGATTTACATGGGTAAGATATTCTATATGTATTTGTTTATACTAATGTTTCTCATAAACAAAAAAGAAACATTTAAATTTACCTAGATCGAAGTTTTTATTGATGTTTTACAGATTAGGTTTAACTGTTGCTTAATTTATCAGAAAATTTCTACTGCATGAACCTTTTCGGTTTATTTAAAACAATTGAAAAAATCTTAAATTAAAAACAAACAAACTCTAATTGCTTTTACAATTTAATTTATAAAAATTTAGGCTGATAATTAATTATAATTAGAAATATTACAAAAACTTTGATTATGAATATTAATTTAATTAATAATTTAAACTATATAGCGTTTTCTTTCAGATATTGTTAAAAAAACTACATTCAAATCAATTTTGACATCGAAAGAAGCTACATAATTGATAAATAAATCAAATGATTGATACGTGTTGCCATCAAAAATTTAAAAAAAGAATGGCTGCGAATAATTTATGACAGAAAATAATTCATGAAAGCATACTATGCATTTTTAGACCGAAAAAGGACCAGTTAGTTTTTCAGTGAGGACCGCAATAATATTTTCAATCATGAACATCAATTCTTCAATCTTTTTTTCTCAACTAAATCAAGTTTTTCAAACATGATGATGCATGATGATCCGTTACGTTACGTCATGTTGGGTTACGTTACGTCATACTGATCAGTAGAATTCACAAGTGCAAGGAATGTATCTCTAAGTAAGTTTCCGAAGACTTATTTTCTTGGGAGATAAATTACTTAGGAGGTAAATTGCTCTATTTTTTTAATTTGGCCAAAATTTTTAGAAATAAGTAAGTTGTTCAATGATACAAAAAACAAATCATGAAAGATTTATTCAAAACATTTTTTATTTAAAGGCTTCAACTTGGTCAAACTATATTCTGAAAAAACACTGTTTTTATTTAATCCTTAAAATTATTTAAGAATATTAATAGAAGGTCAAGTAATGATAAAATGGCGAGAAATTCAATTTTATTTTCGAAAAAAAAAACTGTACAATCTGAAGAGACTTTTTATGCATTGAAACAATATTTAAAGATTCCTTAAATCTAGGCATCTAGTCCAGCATGCACTGAATTAGAAATTGTGGTAATGGACTGGCTGGCAAAAGCAATAGGATTACCTGAAATTTTCCTGCATTCGTCTCCTGGTAGAGGGGGAGGAGTTATACAGGTAAACTTACATTATTTTTATAGAAAGTGATAATTTAAAATTTAAAGTTACTAGATAGTCTAAAAAGGGAATATTGTAACATTTTTGATAAAAATATCTCATTAAATTATTATATCTGTACATGGCTTTCAATGATTTTTGTTTAAAATTTCAGATGAAATAACAACTATCACACGAACAAATAGGAAAATTTCGAATTTTACATTATTTGTATCATATTACTAAATGTCTCTAAAATGACCAATAAAAATCATTAGATTTAACGTTGGTTATTATTAGTTAAAACAAATCTTTATTGAAACAATTTGTTAACTTTGAAATGCACTTTTTGTTGCATTCTGCTTTGTGAGCTACGGAATTTACTCGAACCAAGTTTAAAAAATAGTAAGAAAGTTCATCAGGAGATGGCGCAGTTTTAAGAAAACTTTAAAACAATGTTCGCTGGTGCATGTCAACGTATTCCAATTAAACATGGTCGTCAGTAATTTTTTTTCTCAGTATGCACTGCGAGTTAAGGCAAATGCTGGTTATTTTAAAAAAAAAAATTTTCTTGGTTTTTCTCAGTTACCAGTGCTATCTGGTGACAAGTATTGTAATTGATTTTGAAACTCGAAAGAGTAAATATTCTTGTTCCTCCATCAGAATACAGAAAACCGTGACATTCTATCTCCTTTGATTAAGAAGAAGTACGATGTTTAAAAAAAATTATTTTACTCATTCTTTATTTTTTTATTAAGGTGAAGTTAGGAGAGTCTGCACAGAATTCAACAAACAATGCTCTATGAAGTTTACAAAGCAGTACTGCCTTTCGTACAAATACTTAGAATTGCAGTGTGCGTACTGTACTATTTCCCAGAACTTCTTCGTGCGCAATCTCTCCTAGATTTACCATATCAAAATGTTCTGTTATGTTGTTGTTGTCGTTGGCTATTAAGGAAGAGGGGGTGCGATTGTTCTTGTTTTCTAATGATTCCATCTATGGCGAAGAACTTCTGCCACACCTATACGTCAGACCTGTTTATAGGGCGGACTCATTGATGCATATATTCATTTGCCCACAAATCGTAATTTTGATCTAAACTAGAGAACGATCAATCTCCGATTTAGTATCAGCAGAGGTACTGATTTGTTATGGGAACGTAGAGGACTTTGTGACCTGAAATATTTAGTGTGCACCAATTTTGAGCTTAACAAGAGAACGATCAATTTCCAATTCAGTATCTACAGAGGCATCGATTTGTTATGGGAACACGGAGGAAAACCGCGACATTTTATCTCCTTTGATTTTCTTGATTCGATATTTCGAATCATTTTGAGAATCATTCTTTGCATCAGTAAAAATACCTTGTTTTTTCTTCATATCTTTCGATAGACGACAGCCAGTGAATCTACACTTATCAGCTTACTCGCAGCTCGTACTCAAATGTTTCAGCTGTACAAGGAAAAATATGAACATATTGATGAAGTTGAACTCAATACAAGACTAGTTGCATACACATCTGATCAGGTTAGTATTTTTTTATTACTGAAATTAAGTTTAGATTAGGATCCTTTAAAAATGTCGATATGCTTATAACTGATTTGCATCCGTTTATTTTAATTTAAAAAGGAAAAATTATCTTATATCTCTAGCGTAAAACTTATTAAATAAAAGTAGGAATATGATTTGCAAGCAAGGGAATTATTGTAATATTAAGTTAAAATAAAAGTTCATTGGCAAAAAAAATTGGTCTATAATGATGAAATCAAAAGTGATTAGAAGTTGTATGGTATAATTGACTGATTGAAGATAGTGATGAAAACAGGATAATAAAAATAACAGCTGAAGATTAAAACTGGATCCTAATTATAATAAAACTTCTTATTTAGTACTTGTAGAGCTTGATATATAAAATCATTTTTTATTCGTAATATGACTTTCTGAGTTAAATAATACATTTTGTACATATTAACAAAGACAGGCCGTGGGAGATAAATGCCCCATGATCAGCCTAATCAAAAATCAATTTTAAAAGTGATTGAATTGTTCCCAACAGACAGTTAGGAGCATAGGAATAGATCCAAGGTTAGTAATTTATTGAAAGATATCATAGCCTTCAATATTAATTGGAAAATAATTGGGGGAAAACAAATTGCCAAAAAGACTGAGACTTGTTTCTTACTGATAAAGTTTTCTCAAATTCGAAAGAAATTAGAATGTCCTGCCCAGGTGATGACAATGCTCAGCTAATTTTACATCAGCATAAGATTTAATAACATGAATATTGAAAATATATTTTTGAAGTATAACTGTATGTCTAAAATTTTTTTTGAATAATAATTTTGCTTTAATATTTAACTATGCATAAGTGTATATTATATGTTCCATGGATATATTATGCTTCAGTGAATAACTTACTTTGCAACATGGGGGAGATCCATAAATTAAAAAAAAAAATATTACATATTTTTTTCTGTGTCCAGCGGGGATATATGTGATGCCACAATTGGCATTACATATTTATTCCCTATCTTTTAAAATATCTTTCATTACTTAAGCTTATTTTTATTAATAGAATTATATTTAAAATAAATCAAAGACTTAATCTTTTGAAACGAACTTAAAATATTCTTCTCTTTTAGATCAATGTAACGGATACTTTTTATTTCATTACTAATGCGGATTTATTAATTCACTGCCGCCTCTAATCGAAAGAAAAAATCTATTAATAACTTTTTATTCTAAATTTCTAACCGCAAAAATGTTTCAGTTGCATGGTTGTAATAATTCTCATAAATTTGTTGGCGACTCGTGATTGCCAAGGTATTCTTTTAAACCCAATATTGATATGCTGGTAGGCTTTATTTTGGCTATGTTATAATTTAATGAATCGCCAATTTTGGATCTCCTACTCATGCTTCTGTGTCCGTTGGGAACAAATTACATGTACTCTTTTAATTTGGCTTTTGATTAGGCAGGTCGTGGGGAATTTGTCTCCCAAGGCCTGTCCTTATTAATATTATTATGCAAAATTGATTCAACTGAAATTCTTCTGGATAATTTTTTATATTTGGTGCCTCGAGCTCTGCAAATATAATAAAAATAAAAGCTTTTTTTTAAATATGATCCGGTTCAAGTGTTATATTCATCATCTTTTTCTGTTTTCATCATCTTCAATTTGTCAGTATTCTTCAACTAGTCCACTATACTGTACAAGCTTCCACCCACACCTTAATATTCCATCATCACCACTTAAATTGGCACACTGAATATTCCTTTACCATAATCATTATCACCATGTAACAGAAACATTTTTGCAGTAAGAAATAAAGAACAAAGAGTTATAAATAGATTTTTGTTTTCAATTAGTCGCGACAGTGAATTAATGAATCTTATATAACAATTGAAATTAATAGTTAGTTGTTACATTGATCCATAAGAAAAGGATAAAATATTATATATTTGCTCTTTATAAAATGTAATAAAAATTAAGTAATTGATTTATTTAAATTAAAATTCGATAAAGAATGATTAAAAAAAAGTTTAGGAAATTAGAAAAATTATACAGGCTAGAAAATATGTAATGCCTATAGTGGTATAACAGGCTCTTTGATTTAAAGCAATTTTCTTAATAGCTGATAAAACCCATGTGCCATGGGCGGAGTCAGGATGACATTATTCATAAAATTTTGCAAGAGTTTTGCATATTTTTCGTCATTACAAAATTTTATTTCTTTGTATTACATTATATGTTTCGCTGTCAAATCCTTATCTACAACTTTTTATTGCCAGTCATAGAATTGGATTGTTTCCAACAGAAAAACAAATTTAAAATATCTTTTATTATCCTCTTTTACAGTATTTATAATACGACGCTATTCAATTAATTAAAATAATTAAATATAAATAAAGTATCTTCCGATAAGTTCAAAATTTAGTATAATAAAGATATTTTAGAAAATAAAAGCAAATGCCAGAGAATTATTGATTGTTCAGTTGCTCTAAAACTAATATTTAAGAGCAAAAATTTTGAAGATTAAAAAAAGAAATTTTTTTATTATATTGCGAAAAAATAAATCAATTTTTTAATTATCGTCAGAAAACCTTATTAATTTCAAAACCAAGGAAAAACTGAGCAACAATTAAATATTTTGTTAACTGAAACTACTAAATTCATTGTAATTTAAAAAAGCTTACAATTTATTGCATTGGCTTTATAATCCAGTTATAAACGATCTCAGCTAGTCAAAACATTTAGGATAAAAAGTTATGGAATTCAATTTGATTACGTAGATATTATTAAGACAAAAAAATATGCATACAAAATTTGTATTCATATCAGACTTTTTTTACTCCTTTGAATTATGAAATGCTAATTGGAATCATTATATTTTGTTATATGCTTTTAAATACGAACCAATTAAAAAAAAACATTTTATTTGATGCATTAATTTAGAGGGAAATACAACATTAGTTTTCAGAAACAAAACTGATTTTTCTAAATTAATTAATGCATAAATTCTTGCATCGTTTCAAAATTAACCAAATGTGTGAGAAATTTCAGAGTGAGCTGAACCATAATGTATTGAAAATTTGCTATAACTTTATTTTAGTGCCAATTATTTAACCATATTAGTACTAATTAATTCTTTTTAAACTCCATTGTTGGATGTTTCGGTTAAACGTATACGGAAATGTGGTGCAATATCACTACCTCTTCATTAGAGTTGCAATAAATTTTAACGAAATCATGGTGCAAGCTACCGTTATTACGGTTCAGCAGTTATTCTATTTTTGTGAGAATGTAAAGCACTCTAACTTGAACTAAATTGAATATGTCTTGAAATAAATTGAAAGATTCATAAAATAGACCATGTTTGAACTATTTCAAAGTCAACTTATAAAAGTTTCAAAACAGTACAATTGACAGCATATTTTTGCATATTAAAAAAGCACTTTATTAAAAAATAGCTATAATTAGTATATTAATTTAAAAAAGTAAATTTTTTGATCTAGTTAAAGTATATCCAAATGAGAATAGGGTATAATTTGTGCTACATATGAATAAAGCAAAGCAACGTTAATAAAGCCCAAGAGAAGGCACAAAAATTAGCATACTATAATTTCGGTTCTATAAGAAAAAAGCCTTTCTCAATGCCTTAACACAAAATGAGAGTGGAAAAGTTAGGAGACGAGCACGTTGCAATAAGTGGTTTAACCGATAGGGGAGAAGTACAATATATGAAAGAAGGAAAATAAGAAACAAGTGTGAGGAGATTAGTATATTCTCGCAAGAAAAAGGAATTTCTTTTAAAACTAATTTTTCTGAGTATCTAACAAATGAAAATTCTAAATTTTCTATGCTTTATTATTAATTTTTTATGCTTTATTTTATTTCATTAATTTCAATTAATTAAAAAATTTATGATATTTTATGCTTTATTTTAATACTCATAAACATGTATATTTAATAAGGCCCATTCTTCTGTGGAAAAAGCTGGATTGATAGGACTGGTGAAAATGCGTTATATTGAGAGTGATAAAGACTTGAGTATGCGAGGGGACAAATTGATGGACGCTGTACTGAGAGATCGAGAGAAAGGGCTTGTTCCATTTTTTGTAAGTTTTTCTTTCCTTTTATAAGCCTTTTAATTAAAAAAAATTTTTTTGCTTCCATAATCTATGGTAGTATCAATCATAAATGATAATATATTAATATATGTTATATGATTAATATACATCGAAGAGCCCTTACATTATGACCACCCTCCATCTATAACAATGGGCTCGCCCAGGCTTTCATGGTTTCTCGCCCAGGAACAATGTTTTCATGGGGCACATTAGGACCCATAATCTTCATAGAACAATCCCTGACGTCTGTAAGCTACTTGAACATAGTTGCAGACCAGGCTCACCCATTCATGGCAACAGTTTTTCCTGCCGGGGATGGTGTTTACCAACAGGATAATGCACCATGTCATAAGGGTCGAGTCGTCGAAGAACATTCCAGTGACTTTCAAGTCATGTCTTGGCCCCCAAATTCACCTGACCTTAATCCAATGGAGCATTTGTGGTCCTACTTGGAAAGCCAAATTCGTGCTGCCACGCTTCCCCCTCGCAATGTGGGAGAATTGCAAGACCAGTTGGTGAGAGCTTGGTACCAGATACCTCAGACTACCTATCAGCACCTTGTGGAATCAATGCCACGGCGGGTGCTAGCAGTTTTGAGGGCTAAAGGTGGTCCTACATGTTATTAACAGGGTGGTCATAATGTAATGGCTCTTCGGTGTATATTATGTTACATAATTAATATCATATGAATATATGATTCATCTAATATCATAACATTAATCATAATATCAATCATTTTAATTTCTTAGGTGTGTGCTACATTAGGAACAACTGGAGGTTGTGCATTTGACAACTTGAAAGAAATAGGCTTGGTCTGTAAGTAAACAAATCCATTCACCATAGTTAATAAGCAATTTCATAAAAATGCTCATTTTATAAAAAACTACAATTATAAAATGTTTCGGTTTTAAGAGAGAAGGAACTTAAATGAATGTGAAATTTTTCTCAAATACTTTAAAAACGAATTCCAAACAATTCTCAATCACTGATAATTAATCAAAAATTTTAAAAATTATTTAATATAAAATAATTTAAGCCTGATAAATACATTATAAAATATTTATGTAAAAAAATATACTGTGTTAGTACATTTCCCAATATTACTTAATAAACTAAATATCAAGCAAGTATTTTTAATACAAAATTGTAGAGGAAATGATATTGAAGCAAAATTATAAGTTTCAAACTGCATCATAACAGAATTAGCAACAAAATATGTTAATTAATTTATAACACTTTGGGATTTTTCTTATTGTATACTTTTTTTAAAAAAATGTGATGTAAAATTCTGTTTAATATTTGCCTTTGTCTCTTCAATTATACATTTTTCAGAATAATTAAAAACAAAGAAAAATAGAATTCTGTTAGTATTCTAAATTTTAAACGGAATTCTGTTTTCAATTTTAGGTGAAAAAGAAAATATGTGGCTTCATGTAGACGCAGCATATGCCGGGAGTGCTTTTGTTTGCCCCGAGTTCAGGCATTGGTTGGAAGGCGTAGAATACGCTGACTCATTCGCTTTCAATCCATCTAAATGGTTAATGATACATTTTGACTGCACAGCTATGTGGTAAAGGACTTAACGAACTTTTGCTTATTGTATAATACTGTTTGCAGCAACTTAACCCCTTAATGATCGGTTAATTTTCAAGAAAACGGTCATAAAAGTGCCTATTTTGCTAAATACACGTATTTGATTTGTGCTGGCATCTAGTTTAAAATAAACTAACTATCTACAATTACCTTAAAAATATCATGGTACTGCCATCTGGCGTGTAAAATAAGAAATAAAATGTTCTCCGGACGAAAGAAATGAATTAGTTTATTCTTATTGGCACGTTACTACTGAACACTCCAGCCCGTCATTTTCACGGGAGCGAGAAGGAAGGGGTTGAGTTGGGTTCACAATGGCGTATCAGAGCATCTAATGAGCATATCCCGAAGCAGTTTTCAGACTGACGTATTCCGACGTGAGAACAGACGACAAAAATCTAATTTACCAGTCTTTACTCTATTTGCATAGAATTCACACTACGATTATTGTTATCGCCTGTGCCAGAAGAATAATTTACTGTAAAAACTATTATACTATACATGAACTCTTAGTGTATGGTATAATAGTATTTACAACAAATTGTTATGTAGTATAATAATGTTTGCAAGAACTTGGTATTTGTAATATGCAATACAATTGCAGCAAATTAGAGCATAGCATGGTTTGCATCAAATTTCTCATTAGTGCAATTGTCTACACAGTAGCATATTATATTGTACACTAACGTTCGCGAAAATGGGATTTAGAAATCGCTCGATAAGTACCATTCGTCATAAGTGCAATATGTTTGGATAACATTATGCTTGAATTATGTACACAAACATCTTTTAATAAGGCTTATAAACGGCCTATAAAAGATCTATAAACGGAAAACCTATTAATGATACAACCTCGACTATCAGTCATTAAAAATGACATTATATTTACAGGAACAATTTTATGTTAAGTATAAATCAGAAGTATTTGGTGTTTACTCAAAACCTGATCTGTTTTTAGACTTTCTGGACATTTTTGGACTTATGGATTTGGTCTAATTGTAATGGACCTCTTGGGGAATAGAAACAACAACAACAGTATTTGGTATTATTAACAAAGAAGTATTAAGTTTAAATTAGCTTTGATGGAGTTAATTTGCTTGTTTATTGGTTCATTCGTACAAATAAGCATTTGATAGTGTAAATTCAGAGATAATTATGGACAAAAAAGCATTACCGGATGGCGCATGACTTTTTTATGCTATTATGCCTGTTTACGTATTGTGCATATTTATTAGGATTTACTTTATTTTATAATTAGCTGAATATCAGTTCTTCGTAAGAAGGAAAAAAAGAAAATAACTAATAAATCGGCACTGAAAGAATCATGCTAATTCAATTAGAATTATTACTAAAATTATTTAATTATCAATGGCGTCGCTTTATCAATTCGCTTGGTTCCACCAAGCAGGCTTGCTGGTATTGGCAAGTATCATTAGAAACAACAACAATAATATTAAAGAAGAAAAATTCTAAATCCCCATTAAGTAACTATTAGAATTTTTCCTTTTCTTACTCAATGACATTATTAATTATTCCATTTATAAAATTATTAATTTTAATTCTTTAGCCATTTGTTACTGGATTTCCCACTGTACAATTACAATTGGTAAATTTGTTATTGGTAGGTTTGATCGTACAGAATATAATATCACAAAATGAATAACTTTAATATGCTAAAATTAAGGCATTCAATTCAGCATTCAACACTATAGTAAATTATTATTAATTAATCACACGAAATAATTAGGATATTGATTGGTATCTAAATGGGAAATAAATAACTGCTATTTATAAATAATATAATAACTTTTAACATGCATATTTACCTTGCAATTTTGTCATATAATGTTTCATTAGTTTATAGCTGATGTTGCGTAACATATTATTTTTCATTAACGACGATAATTTACATCTAACAATCTAACATTTATTAAGCTGTAAAATTAACATTTATAAAATAAAACCCCCAAATTATTAAAATGAAATATGTTTGCACTTATGTGTAATTTTAAGTGCCATAAACATTATCCATTTCAAGTTCTCTGTTACATTAAGACACACGTGAAAGCATGGGCGAAATGCACATGAATTTCTGAAAGTTCTAACATTTATTTACTTATAAAATTAACATTTATAAAATAAAAAACCCAAATTATTGAAATGAAATATGTTTGCACTTATGTGTAATTTTAAGTGCCATAAACATTATCCATTTCAAGTTCTCTTTTACATTAAGACACACGTGAAAGCATGGACGAAATGCACATGAATTTCTGGAAGTTCTAACATTTATTTACTTATAAAATTAACACTTCTTATAAGTAAAATTATTTACTTATAAAATTATTTTTAGGGTAAGGAATAGTGAAAGACTTCATCGGACATTTAATGTCGATCCATTATATTTGAAGCATGAAAACACTGGTAAGATACATTTAAATCCTAAAAGTAACAATTTTACAAATTATAAATTTATTTTATACAAATTTATTTTTTCTCTAATATTTAAAAATCTACTAGCTCCACTATGTTCGGAAATTAATCTTATATTTTATTTCGCTCTGCGGAAAAACTTATAGTTAAATTCTTAAAACTAGTAGAAAATTTTATACGAACATTGCGGTTTAAAAATTTATGTCTAAAATTACAATATAGTTTCAGTTGCCTTCAATGCTAGAATTGTTGTAATATCTTTCAAGCCACATCTAACAAAGGCAACTAATTACGGAATAAAAATATTTAAAAAAATAATAAAACATAAATTCAATTTTTTTTAAATACGGTTTTTGATTTGTGAAAAGTAAAGTAAAAAGTCCATTTTCCATAATTTAGAGAAAATCGTTGATAGGCTCATACGTGCTCGTACGTAAATATATATGAAAAGCAATTATCGCATAAAATTTAGATATCAGATTTTCTAGATAGATATTAGATTCAGATATCAGAGATATTGGATTTTCTCCTGTAGAGACTAATTTTTTTTACATTCAAAAAAATTTAATAATTTAATTTCATTTAAAAATAAATAAATAAATGTTAACGATGTTAAGTTAAGATCTCTTGTTGGGCGATTTTCACCCACTATCCCGGTCCTGAATCTCAACCCATACTTAAAAGCAACTTATGAAGCAACTTATGACTTTATTTCGAAAAGAATTTTTTTTAAACATATACTGTCGCCATCTATTTTATTTTAAAAGAATCTTTAAGTAAAGCACAAACTATGCTCTTTCCTATCTCTGGTTTAAACCGCTATTTGCGTAACTATACATTATTTTATTAGTTATTTTAAAGTAATTTTTGAGTCACAATATTTGTATTTAATTTAATTATGAGAAGGAAAGGGTGCACAAAGGAAAATATAACAATCTTACTCATAATGGGGAAGAAAATACATACATAGCTAATAAAAAGTTTAATAGTTTTTCAACAATTATCTCTTATTTGTTCAAGTTTTATCACTTCACAAATAAAAAAATTGAATTTGCAGGTCTAGCTGTTGATTTCACGGTAAGTCCGAATAGTATAACTATATTACATACAGTATGTTTACATAATAGCTATTTATTATATGATATTCATTATTACAATGCTTCTGTATTAACAACATTCAGAATAATTAAGTTATTAATATAACGAATATTATTTAATTCATCTGCATGCTTAGTGATTCTATTTTATGGTTAGCAATCATAATCTGCTGCCCAGTGGCCTGCCTACATAATATATTTTTTTCTAAAAGGTCATAATTATGCAAATTAGTTTTTATTTTTTAATATTTGTCAATAATGGTAAAATTTTCGTATTGATGAGTGTTAAACTTATGCAGCTTTAAATGATGAAAATTGAATGAAATCAGACAAATTACTGCCCGATGGAGTAGTAAAATTTCAAAAAAGGGTTAGTTCTCCATTTTGGCAGCGCAAGTAAATTCAGTTATTTTATTTATCAATTTATTACTATTATTTTTAAAAAAAATATTGTTAACCTAAAAATAAAAGTAAATAAAAATAAAAGTAAATAAAACTGAAACTGTAAAAAAAAAAAAGTTGAATTTTCTTGCATTGACAGCATTGGACTTTATCGCTTGCAAAGTGCAGAAAAAAGTGATATTATAAAATTTATACTTCTCAATAATTTTTCAATTAATTCTGAGTAAATTTTGCATTTTATCATGAAATGTTTTAAAATATTGTCCTAAAAATTTAAATACCATTTAGTACAAAAAAAAAAAAAAAAAACAAAAAAAAAAACACGTTAAATTAAACGATAAAAAAATTAGACATTTATAAAACGATGTAAAACTTCACTTATGGTATAATTTTTGAAAAGATGAGTTTTTCACTTTTATGGAAATTCAGCTTCGCTTAATTAGTTTCAGTGAGAGATAACGGGACGCATTAAGAGAAAATTAAATCTTTATCTTATAACGTTAACTTCGGACTTCAATCCTGACCAAATAATAAGCACCATATTTTCCAGATTGCTGATTCTCTCCTCTTCCTTCCTATTCACACATATTTTGAGGACCGAATATTTGAACCTATCAGTAAAAAAGTGGCATGCTAATTCACAGCTATGCATAACTTCAATATTTAAAGTTTGGTGGAATTTCACATAAAAATCGCATCTTGTACGTCTTGCAAATCTAAATATGCATGAATTTGAATGATAGATGGCAGCATCAAAACTTTCAGAGTTTTCTGAATGAGAGTAACAAAATTACATAACGTGACTAGATTCTATAGACTATTATTCTTTATTTAATCATAATTTGCATTTTAAGATTTAATTGCTTGCTACAAAATGTAATATTTACCTTTATAATCAAATTTTTAAAATTTCTCCATTCTATTCAATTGTAGAATAATATAGACTGCTACAAAATAATTCAACTTAAAAGTATTTTATAAAATACTATTTTTGTTCGAGGTTTCTAGATATAGTACTGAAAATTGCTTTATTGAGAACATACTCCATTTTTTAATACAAACCAATATAAATATTTGCAGAATATAGATATGAAATTTTTGTTTCAGTTTCATTTCAGTTTTACTTCTGTTTCTTAGAGAACTAGAATTTTAATGGTGCTGCCATCTAATGACAAAAATTATGAACAGCTTTGCACAAATCGATGAATTTAATTTAACTCGTCTTCTTATATAACAAGCTATACTATTGCTAGTATAGTAATAATCTTTTCTGAACAACTGGTTTATCTCTCAAATGAATAATTGCAACATCGTAATAGTGCTTTGAATCCCTGTGCAGTACCTAAAGGTACTCCTTTCCCTTAAAATTTGTATATAGAGAGAAATTATAAGATGATTTGTATCTAGCACTTGTGCCTGTCCTTAATTTCTGTTTGCTTAGTCAGCTATGTAATGTCACATTTCTAAAATGTTTGCAATATATTTTTTAAAGTTGTAATACAAATTTTATAAAATCACAGCACTGGCAAATACCGCTGAGTAAACGCTTCCGTGCTCTAAAATTGTGGATGGTCCTGAGGAATTACGGTATAAAAGGACTTCAGAAGCACATTCGTCATGTAAGTAAACTCTTATTTGCCATGTAAATTAACTTAATATTAAATTTGCTGTTAAATGTTACTTGCAAACGAGTCTTAGCTTTGCAGCAGTGGCAGGTGCTAGAACAGCGGTTCCCAAATGTTTTGTCTACGGAATCCTAAATAATCAATCTTCTTCCGACGGAACCCTGACTTCATAATTGAAGTGAATAATGACAATTTTGTACGCATTAACCGTCAAAATACTACTTACTTTTGACTTTTGAACTTTTTTATAATTAATGAGAGAAATGAATTTCTTTTCATCGCTCTATCATGAGTAATTGAGTTTTATGTTCGACAGTTAAATTCGCAGTCTTGAAAATGTAACTAGTCTAGCTAAAAATTTGTTTTTACATTGCTATAAAAAAAGAGCTTTTGTAAATATTTAAAATGGTTATTAGGAAAGCGTATTTCTTTATTAAGGAAATCAGTTATTTTATTTTGATTTGAAAAAAAAAAAAAAACGAAAACAGTGTGAAATGTTATTGCAATTCTTTTATAATTGCATGTTCTTTTCCTAATTTTTCATGAAATATATTGTTAGAAGATTTTTTTTTCAAAATTTTAATTTCTCTCTCTTCGGCATTTTACTTTAAACATAATTTCATAAAGGGAATGGAAATAATAAGTAAAATATGTAGTTCTAATTGTATCTAAATACAATTGCAGATTTCAAAAATGTTAAAGAAAAGTCTTCAGTCTTGGAACTCCGTTAAATCTCCTGCGGAACCCTAGGTTTTCGAGGAACACAATTTGGGAACCGCTGTACTAGAGTCATCAATTGGCTTACGAGCAACAATTATTCCCCAGTTCATAGTTATCATAATATCATATGTATTAGAGTTGTATTCAAAATTGCATTTAGAATTTAATAAAAAAGGATTAAAAACTTTTAACTATGTAAATGTAATTTAATTATATACATAAATAATATCTTTAACAATTAAGATAGTTTTGTGAAGAATATTTTATAAGCATATTTTATACTAGTTGGAATCAATAATTGAATAATCTATTGAAAAACTAAAATAATTTAAATATATCATACATAGTGTTCTATAATTTCCACATTTAGAATTCGTTTTCTGAACTCGTGTCAAAATTATTATCAAATATTGATATCACATTTGAGATCGTAAAAGCAAAATCGTAATCAAAACCTGGATAATCATTAAAAAAGAACAAAGAACATTAAAAAAGAAAAGAACTATTATTACAAACTTAAAATTTTTCTCACTACTCAAATTGATTTTGATGTTTTTTAAAACATCATCCGCAATAGTGATTCGTAAGATTTTTAAAGAATTTTGCTTTTTTTCCCTCACTTACAATTACTTGTCAACTTTATTGTATATATTTGTAAACGTCATGGTTGAGAAGGACTTTAGAAATACAAATTACTGGCGGTGAATGAGGATTGATTGGAACAAAAACAATACGTTATTAAATTATTATAATTAATTTTTATTTAATAGATAAACTAATTGGAAGCTAATTGAAAGATTTAATGTAGCTTTTCACTTTTAATAAAATACAAAAGGAATTTTAATTTAAAAATATCTAGTATTTTTACCTAACTATAAGATTTCTATAAAATCAGTTTTAATTAATAAAATAAATAATAAATCAATAATAATAAAGCAATTATTAATAAAACAGGCTTACAGATATTCCTTATAGTGTAGATTCTTATTTAGTGATTATAATAAAACATATAATAATTATTAAATTATTTTTAGTTTATAAATTGGAGCTATAAATGATTGTCTTCAGAGAAAAATAAACCTTGTGGATGACAATTTTTTTGCGAACTTTGTGTAAAATATTTGTTTTTAATGAAAAATGTTTAACACTTTTTTAAAATTTCCATTAAGGGTATTAAGCTTGCAAAACTATTTGAAACGCTTGTTCGAGATGATGACAGATTTGAAATTCCTGCCCAGAGGCATCTTGGTCTGGTTGTGTTTAGAATCAAAGTATGATGTTTAGAAAAAAATTATTTTACTCATGCTTTCTTTTTCTTTTTTTTATTAAGGTGAAGTTAGGAGAGTCTGCGCACAATTCAACAAACAATGTTTTGCGAAAAAAAAAACTACATAGCTATGCCATGTCCTAGACGTTTGTAGCAATCAACTTGCTCTATGAAGTTTACAAAGCAGTACTACCTTTCTTACAAATACTTAGAATTGCAGTGTGCGTACTGTACTATCTCCCAGAACTTCTATGTGCGCAATCTCTCCTAGATTTACCTTATAAAAATGTTCTGTTATGTTTTTGTTGTCGTCGGCTATCAAGGCAAAGGGGGTGCGGTTGTCCTTGTTTTCTAGTGGTTCCGTCAATGGCGAAGAATTCAACTTCTGCCTCACCCATACGTCACACCCGTTTATAGGGCGGATTCATTAATACATCCACTCATTCACCCACAGATAGTAATTTTGGCCTCAACTAGAGAACGATCAATCACCTATTCAATAACCTCAAAGGTATTGATTTCTTATGGGAACATGGAGGACTTGGTGACCCAACGGATTGAACGTGCACCAATTTTGACCTGAACGATCAATCTCCAATTCATTATCGACAGAGGTATTGATTTGTCATGGGAACATGGAGGACTTTGTGACCCGATTCAAACTACCGTTCTCACAAACGTGAGTCCTGCTCTCTGCCTACCAGGCTATCCCGGCCTTTTAAATGCTCTGTTATATTTCTAATTTATAACAAAAATGCATTGTCTTCCCGATAACGAACTTCTACCATATATTTTTTATTAAAAATAATGTCCTCAATTAATGATTATCACATAAATCTAAAGTTTTTTTTCTTCCAAAAATGACATTGTTTAAGCTTTCAATACAAATACTTCTGTTGGATGCAATTTTAAAAAAAAGATATTCTTCTTTTAACTTCTCCAAAATTAAAAAAATGTTTTCATTATTTTTGTTTGAACATAATTTTTTTGAGATTGCAAAGCACTTGATAGAAATTTTGAAAAATAGGCACTTTTGACTGAATATATCTTTGCATATCTTGAACATATCTTGAACCTATTTTTAAAACTATATAAAATTTCTTTTATTTTTGCTCGTTTGATCATTCTTATATTTTATCTAACATTGTTTTTAATTAAAGTTATTGTTCTATAAAGTTAAATATTTAACTTTCAATAAATTCGTCACAATTCAAGAAATTTTTTTTAAAAAAAATGAGATTTTCCTCTCGGGAAAAAAAGGAAAGAACAAATTTTAAAACTTTTGAAATATCTGAAAGTTGAGTAATAATTTTTTTTAAGATTCAGATTTCTTATAAATTTAATAAAAGTAAATTAAAACTGTGTTTTCCTCTGATTTGTTTGAGATAATACGTATGCCTAAATAGAAATCCAAATTAGTTTTTATTTTGCATGTCTTATTGTTTTTAAATTATTATCAATAGTTATTATTTGTTTAAGGTCATCGACCTATTATGTTAAGTAATTCTTTTATAAATTCAGCGCTATATAATGTTATTTTAGTCAACAACAAAATTTTTCAAAAACGAGTTATTTTCCCTCTCGAAGGAAGAATAGACAAAATCCATTTTTTTAAATTTGTATGATAATGTTTAATCAATTTCAGAAATTCTTATAGATTTAATAAAAGTGAATTAAAACTCGAAGAACTGTTCTGATTTCTTTTTTTTTTTGTGTAATCATTTAAGAAACAATAGCAAACAATTTCATTCTATAAGGTTATCGTTCTCTAACGTTACAAAACAACTTCAACTTATAACAATTATTTTTAACTCAAAAAGTGTCTTATGTAGACAACGATTTTGAAATGGAAAAGTAGAAAATGATTTCGAAAGCTGAATCGTTTATTTAGAAAACGCTTTATCACTTTTCTCTATCTAAATCACACACACACTTATAGATTTTACATAAATAAGATAAGCTCTTAAATTTTGTGTGTAAAAAATGATATTATAGCAATGCTATTTAAGCTTATTTTATAAAATAACAGTTCAATGCTGAGTTCTATCATATGATATTAGTTTTAATTCAACACTTTCAATTACTTTTGAAATTAATTCAAAAATAAAATATAATGCTATTCAGAAAATTTAAAAAAGAAATTATCCAATCAGCCTTAATTAGTAATTTTCTTACTATCGTTTAAATTGAATTCCCCACTCTTATTTTATTACTCTTGAAATAAATTCGAAAATGAAATATACTGTGATTGAAAAATATAAAAAAAGAGTACTTCAATTAAATATCCATTAGCTTTACCCACCACGAATTAATTAACATTAGCTTTTATCATTTAATGAATGATCTTTTCTTTGTTTTATCTTTATTTAAAGTATTAATGAATTTAAATTTAGAAATAGTATATTATTGATTGTACAAATAATATACTATATATAAATATATATATATATATATNAAGCATATATATATATATATATATATATATATTATTTCTATTATTTAAATTCATTCAAGCAAAGTAAAATAATGCAAGGATATGCTTATAAAAAAAAATTGAAAAATCGATCTTAGATAAATTTTTATCACCTTTTGTTATAATGATAAATCAGAACATTAAGTTTTTTTTCAAATTTTTTTTTCGTTAATGTAAAAGTAAACTTAAATCAACTGTCATCTTACAACTGCAGACTCCTATGAGGTGAAAAAAGGTCTGCGATCCACTTTTTTTCCCCCCACAAAAATAAATTCTACTTTCTTGTAGACGCCGTTTTGACTCAACTCTTATTATGTACACTACTAAATCTCGAATCAAGACCGGTTCTAAACCGGCGAGGAAGACAGAACATTTTGTTCCCTGAAGAAATTATATGATGTGAACTTACATGACCTTACAATATTTGATCTAAGAGATGTATAGTTAAATATATTTTTTAACGTAATCTTAGGAATCAAGTGGCAAGTCGCAAAAATAGAGTTTTAGCTTTAAATCGATAATTTAAGAAATATGATGATAAATATCAAAAATTAAAATTGAAGTCTTAAATAAAGGATTTCTATTGATATTATTAGTAATAGTGAAAGCTTAATAATAATAGCAATAGATTATTAATAATTGTACCATCATTAATAATGGTTGTCTGTAGCCGGATTTAATTAACGAAAGGTGAAGCCAAAATTAAACTCTAGTAGGCAGGTAATTTTTATATGTGTTAGTTTTATACTAATATTTTTTTAAATGTTAGAAGTTTATTTTGAATTTGTTTAGGTATCAAAAAGTTTGCTATGAAAGCTAGCTTATCTCAATGCTTCGTATAGAAATTCCCTTGTCTTCTGTGTTGGGTTCAGAGTTACTAGACTATTGAGTTGAACATTGATATTTGTAAACCCAAAAATAGGTTGAATGTTCAAGGGCTGTTATAGCCCTTTGAAGCAGATGGACATCGATGTGCCTTTCTATATATTTTTTTCTAACTCACCAATTAGTATCCAAAATATATTTTGGCTTATTTTAATTAAAATAAAATAGTCTAGTAGTTACTAAAAAAGGTTAGATTATCGAAATTATATTTGTTCTAAAATACAAAATCCAAAAAAAAAGTAGTTTGAAAAAAAATAATTGAAAATTCATATTCAAAAATTTATCAATTTCTGATTTTATAAATTAAGGAAATTTCAATGATGAATTTAATTAATGAATTTCAATGATGAGTTTCTCTTAGATCTAAATAATTGTAAATAAGTAGAAATTTATAAAAAAAACAAACATTGTTTGGAAGTGAACCGTGTTAGAAAGATCTATAGAGCAGAAAAAGACATTGATGTTTTATTTTGTATTTCATAACCATAAATTATTAAAATGATAAATATAATATTTTTCAAATATTTTTACTTAAATTAACACAAAATAATCTAAAGAAGTAGAAAAAATGTGTTTAAAAAAAATCTGAGTCAAGGGTTAAAGTATGTATGCGTGCTTTTAGTTGGGTAATATGGGTGTTAATATTTTAGTATTAAAGTCTTTCTAAACTGCATTGAATAATTTTATAACATGTAATTTCTATCCGCTACGGTTCTGTTAAGACTAATTTGAATTCGTCTAAATATTCTCTCTGTACTAAGCGTATGTTTGATTTACAAACTAAGTCATTTCAAGAACTAGTGTATATAGGCATCTAGATTAATGACACTTACATTATATTGTCTCGTATCGCAACCAATTAATTCCCTCATATATATTTCAATGCGAGGTTTGCGAACTACTAATTACCTAATATGTACTTCATTGCAAAATTTGTATATTACCAACTGCATCGTACATATTTCAATGCGAAATTTACAAAATACCAATCACTTTATATGTATTAGAATACAAAATTTGCAATCAACCAATTGCTTCACATGCATTTTAGGGCAAAATTTGCAAACTTTAATTTCCTTACAGATATTTATATATATACAATGTAAAATTGCTACTTGAAAATTGTATTTTACTAACGTACAAATGTTATTTTATCCTTATAAAAGGGTGAAAACGAGCTAACCGAAACACTTCTGAAGAAAATAAATACCAGTGGAAAACTACATTGCGTTCCTAGTTCTCTTAAGGGTAAATATGTCATCCGTTTCACAGTCACATCACCTCGGACAACATTCCAAGACATCCAGAATGACTGGACCTTCATCCAGTTAATGTGCAGCCAAATCTTAAACGAATCACCATCTGGAAGACGTCCTCTGTCCATAGCCGAGATCAAGAGGCGGAACCCTTCATTTGGTACTAGTCTACTTCTGAGCAACAGTCCTATGACTCCCAAAGTTATGAATGGTAGTTTTGTCGCAATTTTCGAAGCAGGAGATGCTTTGAAGGTAATAACATTTCCATTTATTTAATCTGTTTGGTAAATGGTCAATCTTATACGAGGGTTAACTTGATTTTTCTTGGAAGTTCAAGTTAAGCTTTGTAAACTGAGGAACAATTCATTCGGTACTAGTCTACTTCTGAGCAAAAGTGCTATGGCTCCCAAGGTTAGGAATGGCTGTTTTGTCACCATTTTCGAAGCGGGAGATGCTTTTTAGACAAATATATTTCCATTGATTTAGTTCGTATGGTAAATGGTCTATCTTATACGAGGGTTCATTTGATTTTCCTGGAAGTTCAAGTTAAGCTTGTAAACTGAGGAACAATTCATTCGCTACTAGTCTACTTCTGAGCAACAATCACGTCTCCCACAGTTAAGTTATAAATAGTAGTTTTTTCACCATTTTCAAAGCAAGGGATGCTTTGAAGGTACTAATATTTCCATTTATTTAATCTCTTTGGTAAATGGTCTATCATCTTATACGAGGGTTAATTTGATTTTCTTGGAATTTGGCGGAACAGTTCAAGTTAAGTTTTGTAAACTGAGGAGTAATTCATTCGGTATTAGTCTACTTCTGAGCAATAATCATGACTCTCGAAGTTAAGTTATGAATAGTCAATATAATAGTTATAATTAGTAAACTGAGAAACAATTTATTCGGTACTAGTCTTCTTCTGAGCCACAGTCATAACTCCCTAAGTTTAAGTTATGAATAGCAGCTTTGTCAGCATTTTCGAATAAAGAAGTGATTTGAATGGTATTTCCATTAATTGAACCTGTTTGGTCATCTTATACGAGGTTACCTTATCTCAGTTTGGTCACTTTATATATACGATACATATTATCGATCCCCTTATACGAGAGTTACTTAGATTTTTTTTAAATTCCGCCAAACAGTTTATTTTAAGCATAGTAAACTGATGAACTCTTCATTCGATGCTAGTCTTATTCTGAGCAACATTTCTATGACTCCCCAGGTTAGGAATAGCAGTTTTGTTACAATTTTCGAAGTGGGAGATGCTTTGTAGACAATTATATTTCCATTGATTTAATTCGTATGGTAAATGATCTACCACATCGTACTACCGTTATTTTGATATTTTTTTGGAATGCAGTTAAACGGTTCAGGTTAAACTTATAAAATTGAGGAACCCTTAATTCGATACTAGTCTATTTCTGAGTAACAGTCATATGATCCCCAAGTTAGGAAAAGTAATTTTGTAGTCAGTTTCGAAGCTAGAGAGGCTTTAAAGGTCTTTATATATATACTGTAATGAGCACAGCAGTTCGTATCGATTGGAGATGAACAAAACAGTCCTTAGGACTCCAAAAATTTATTGGTAGAATCTTCAAGAAAAGACAGCAATTTTCAGCACTTAATTGCAGCATGGATAATTGGCTAGTGCACAACAAATCACCGGCTCTGAAACTTCAAACTGTTCACAAGAGACCCGTAAATCAGATTACTATTGAGGTCACAAAAGGACTAATGTTCTCTCTACTTTACTGCGAGGCACACTCCTATTAATATAGGGCTGGCGATGGACACAAGAACTTTCGGCATAATTCTTGACAATTCTTGTAAAACTCCGTAAATATTAGTCGTATCGCTTTGAAACTCAAATTTTCCAGAACTATCATTTTGTTGCAAAATGGTCGCTAAGTATCGCCAAGTAGCCAAAATTATCTCCAAGTCGACAAAAATGTTAAGTGTACCCAAATGAATTTTCATATCTACATACTAAATTGTATTACATTCATTTATCTACTAATTAGTTTGGTTTTTATTAATTAGTTTGGTTTTACCTGATTAAAAGCTTCATTCACTTCAAAAGTACATAAAAGGTAAATAAAAATGACTTGTGAAAAAATGAGAACATGTGAGTCAGACTTGAATAAAAAGAAACAAGAGTGATTTGAAGCGTAAAAGTTAAAGTTGTCAACGAAAAATGGAAAAATAAAGAGGATAAACCTCAAAAATAGAGAGTTTCTCTTCTTTATTTTCCCATTTTCCATTGACAATGTTTTATATTTCAAATCACTTTTGTTTCTTCTTATTCCTGTCTGACAAGTCTTGAAAATGGGCGCCTATTTTTGAAGCGCTTGAAACAGGTCGATTTTTATTTACCTTATAAATATCTTTGAAGCGAATGAAGCTGTAACAGGTAATATTTTACCGCGTCAGTTTCTTCGAAATATTTACTTGATAGTTTGGTTTTACTTTATCCATGGTAACAGTTCTATTTCCTTCTCGTGTAAAACTATATGAACATAGATGTTAACATTTACTAGTTTAACAAATAGCTTTTCCTAAAACAAATTCGGGAAATCTTTGTCTATGTAAAAAAGATAATAAATTTTGCTTTCAATAAATCAAACTATTGGAGCCATATTTCTCAGATTGCCGCCACCTCCTGTATTTTGAATGTTAGAAATCGGAATCCATCGAATAAAAAGGGGAGGCTTATTCAGGGACAATGCGTTTTCATGTCTGAATTCGTGACTTAAAATATCGTCAGCACTAATTAATTAGCATGTTTGAGGTCATCCCCTCGAATCATTAAGATTGAGTCCTAGAAGATAAAGATTCAATCATTAGATCAAAAATTATTCAGGGTGGTCCATATTTCATTTTGCGTACTGTTCAGTAACATTTCTACTTTTTTTTTTTATTTATTTAATTTTTTTGTTTGTTATTATTTTAGATGATTTGGAATAAATATGTAATTATTAATTCCCTTGTGTAAAACTGAAAAAAAAAAATTAAATTTCGTTTGTATAATTGCTATTCTATGAATTAATTAAAAATAGGTAAAAATTTATCTCGCCCTACGAGCAAATTTGAATTCAAATTTAGCAATGCTAAGTTTTTGTTTCACAGTTTCTCAAAACGCGATCACTACTTTTTAGTTTTCAACTTCTGTCAAACAAAATCATGACATTTTTTAATTGTTTCATTAACTATTAGACTAATCATATTAGACTCTATTGTTAAAAATCCCAAAAATGCAACTCGGTTTATGCCTTTTATTTGTTTATTACACGTTGATCTACATTGCAACAACCTTACGCAGACTTGTATTGTTTACATTTTCTAAGGAAACTCACCTCGCTTTATGTGTTTTATTTGTTAATCACACGTTGAGCAATGTTTAAACTATGTATAAGCTTGCTTTATTAGTATTTTAATTAAAATGCTAACTCATTTTAAATTTTTTATTTTATTATAACATGTTATATGAATCTGCAACAACAATGCGAAGACATTCACTGTTAATACTTTAATATAAATATTAACTCATTTTATTTTATTTTTTAAATCTTTACTACATTTTTCAGCTGTTTAAAACTTCTGAAGCTTCTTGCATTTTCACAGTATTGTCAACCTTTTTCTTAAATTTTTGTTTTTAATTAGCTTATTTTTCTTTAAAAAAAAATCAGATTTTCGGTCAAGCTCAAGTTTTTCTCCTACGGCGCCACAAAAAACTTTTTCTTAAATTCTTATTTTTAATTAGCTTATTTTTTCTTAAAAAAAATCAGATTTTCACTCAAACTCAAGTTTTTCTCTTACGGTGCCACAAAAACCTTTTCTTAAATTCTTGTTTTTAATTAGCTTATTTTTTTAAAAAAAAAAACAGATTTTCGGTCAAGCTTAAGTTTTTCTCTTACCTGGCCACAAAAGCTTAATTATTTTTAAACCAATAATTGTAAAAGTTTACGGTGTGAGTAGTAGATGTGTGCGTTATTCTCAAAATTTCATTTTTATTTCACAATAGGTAGGAAAATGGAGATATCCCGTTAGAGCTAGATCGGCATCAGTCTTTTAGCACTTTTTTTTAGGAATTGCGCTCTCTAAAAAAAAGGTACGATAAGATTTTTATTTATCTAAGAAACTGAATTTTATTTAATCTAAGGAAGTTAAACTGCACCATGCATTATTTAATGCATGGGGCAATGATTATGAAATATTTTACATTTAGAAATGATTGCATATCAAAACACTCTGTGGATTTCATTTTTCCTACCTTCTAAAATTTCATGAATTATTTAAAAATATTCAGAAGTATTTATTAATATAAGGTTAAAAAAAACTCACCTTTAATTCTAAATAACAAAATCTAAAATTCAAAGAAAATAGATTGAATGTGTTTCTCACTATTTACGCTGGTATCACGTTTCAGGAGCTCGTCAGGTATCGGATTTTAAAAGTTTTCAATGCTTAGAAAATCATTCAATCGCTATAAAATGCTTAAAATTTTCCGTTTAGTTGATCGGTTAATTTAAACTAGCTAAAATAATTAAATTAGTTCAAAAATTAGCTTGACTGCTTGATGAAGTTGAATAAGATCGATTTCCAAGAAGAACCTTTCACCATCTCTCGATATTATCCAAGTGGACTCAGAAATTGTATAAAGTATGAATAAATCAACAAATCCAGCTTAATACATTTTTATCTGACGTTTTCCGTTTATCACAAATTTTCCATTAATTTTTGTTATCTTTATGAAGAGAGGGTGAAAAAAAGTTGTTTTTTTAAAAAAATTTTTTTTTAATCTATTATTTATCTGTAATTTTTTATTGAATTTAATAATAGTTTTAATTTCATTTTAATATTTATTTATTTTCATTTTAATACTTTTTTATTTTGTTTAAATAAAATTTTACATTAAATTTCATTTTTATTATTTATATTGTACAAAATCGTTTCATAATCCCTGCTCTTATATAATAGTTTTGGAATCATTGCAAAATGAAGGAACACTAGGGGATTAATGATAAATTTTATTGGAAAAAATCAAAAGCTTTATTAAGTCAGACAAATCATTATCAATGGCAATTTCTATAATGGCTGAATTAAGAGCAACAGAATTAGTTTGACAACTGGATAAAACTGAATAAGATCGATTTCTAAGAAGTCCCTTTTTCCATCTGTCTATATCATAAAACAACCAAACTAGTTGTAATGCTTAAAAGCTTATATTCCCTGGTATTTACCTATGTAATGATCCTCCAGATTTTCGCAAAGCTTTTGTTTTACACTTAGATATTTATTTATGTTTCCTGATATGTATTTTTTTCTGTGTCATATATTTTAATTTTATAACAGTCATTGAACAGCCAACCCAATTTACGACTACTAATGATCAACAACGTAGTCATGCAATTTTGAACCCAATCTAGAAGACAAGTATTGGGAGAAATTTGTCTTCGTGGAGGACTTTTTAACTGGTCGATACGAATTCCACATCTAGCTTGCACCGACCAGAGTGCTGACGTATAATATCCTCATTGGTAGACGGATCAAGGGTTAGAATCCCCTTGCCGTCAAGCTAACCGCGGAAAGTTTTCATGGTTTTCCTTTCCATGCAACGCAAAGCCATATATTGTTGAGAATGATTAAAAAAATTCATGTTAAAAGAGCTGAATACGAAATACCTTGCATAATATTATTATTTCTAAAATTATTCTGGCATAAAATTTTAACTAAATTTTTTGTTAAAAATTTGGTTTAACTCCGTGATGTGCATATTCTTTTCGAAACTTCATATATCAATGATTGTTCATAATGATTATAAAAATTCATGTTAAAGGGGGTGAATCCAAAATATCCTGTGAATTTTTTTTGCATTGAACTTTTATTTTAATATTTCTAACATTAACTTAGCATAAAAATTTAAATATTTTTTTTTTGATAAAATCTTTTTTTAATATCCTGATGCCTACGCTTTTTTTTTATAACTTCATATATATTGATAATGATTCTAAAATATCATGTTAAGGGCAGTGAACACGAAACATTTTGCGCATTGAATTTTTACTTTATTATTTATAATATTAACCTAGAATTTTGAAGAAAATCATTCTTATTTTGTTATTTCAGCGTCATTTTTACAAGAGTTTTATTGCACTTCTCACACTTCCGCACCTGATACCCGTAAGTACTAATAATTTATTTCTCGCCCTCATGCTGCTTATTCAGGAGTTTTTAGATAGGAACGGGACTTTAAGAATTGCCAGCAAGGATTCACCAGTCTTGCAAAGAAGGCTCAAGGGGCTCATCAGAGGGCAACGGCAGTACAGTCTGGACTCCCACATAGACTTGATGGTGGCTGCCAACTCAGACAAAGAGGATAAAACTTCAAAAAACAGTGTTCCAGCCATCGAAGAACTCAGCCATGGACAGGATGCAGAAGAGGATACGCGTTGTACCAAGTGTGGACAAGTGCTCTCCACAGAGTAATTTAATTTAGTCATGACTATTATCATTTGCAATTTTTTTCTCTGTATAATTTATGGAGATATATTTTAATGCGTTGCATGTAGTTGATATTTTTGTTGTTGTTGCTTTTATCATCATATGCTTTTTAAATAAATGTTGCAAGCTGATATATTGCCTCTTTCATATTGCAGTCTGCGATGTAAGACGATTAGAGTACGTTTTTGTTTCCAAAATAATGTGGATTTTCTTCCTACGTTTTGTGCCATTTTCAGAATTAACATACATGGCTCTAGCTGAAGATACCAGATAGAAGTGCAAGGTTGATTTTAATGTAACAATATTAATCACAAAGCCCAACAAGGTTTATAATTGATTAGCAAATAAACTATACAAGCTTGAAGCAATGTTAAATTTCAGTACTCTAGTATACGCACTATGAGGTTCGCATTACGCAAACAATAATCGTTAAAAGCAAACCCATTAAAATCAATATTGAATCTGCAGTTAGAAAACAAGGCTATAAAAACCTTTTGTAATCGAGGATGAATCATCATTCTCAAATCAAGAATAAAAAGCGTACTCAAACCAATGATAAATTCACCTTTTCAAGATTTATTTTAGATTTTATGATCATTAGTGAAGCAAGGCTTATTTGCGCGATCTTTTATATTCTTTAACATTTTAAGAGAGAAGGTAGGCCAGATCTATAAGTTTTTAACACAAATAAAGTGTTGACGAGACAAAGTTACAGTGGGGAAGAAAGGCAAATACGAGGCTTATAGTAAAAGCTAAAAAAAAAGATTTTTTTGTAAATTTTTTTTTGTATGGCTTTATTTAATCTATAAGGAAGCAAACTTGGCATACTAATCTTTCTACTAAGTTAAACAAAACATAATTAATCAACTATTCTATGCCAACCAAATGAAAATGAAAGTACAACGTTGATCAAAAGGTTACCTGCTATCTGGGACAGCCTAAAATTGATCTATTACTTATGAATAACTGTTCTGAACTCACAGCAGTACCGCAAATGGTACAGAGTTCGCAAAAAAGAGCTCTTTCATATAGTGACAAAGTAATCGAAAAATAATCTTAACCATATGCTTACTAAATCACTTAGCATGATGAAGCCATTCTGTTCCACTTACGGTACCAGAAGTAAGCAAAGGGTTAAGTAAAAGTACTAAGATAAAAGGTTCTTTGAAACAATAGTCTTAAGATAAATTTTCAGATTTCTGGGGAAAAAATTACATGAATTAGTTGTTTTGAGTTTTTATTCAAACAAGAAAGAAACGAAAGAGATATCAAAATCAGCCGAATCACTATAGAAGAAGGTAGGTTGAAGAACATTAAAAACCAATTGAAAATTGGAGGCATTTCTAATGATCGCCTTTTAACTTTTTTCTTTTTTTCAATCAAACAGGTTTCGATATTTTCAGTCCAATAATCGTCATATTCTAATAGGTGAAATAAACAAAATTAATTTCCGAAAAGGTGAAATAGCCAGAATGCATAATAAGAATGTAAATTAGAGAAAAATAAACTAATGTAAATTAGTCAAAAAGTTTGCATAATATGAATGTAAATTAGAAAAAGTTAGCATAATATGAAGGTAAATTAATTTAAAGAAGGAAATAATTAAAAAGGGATACATAAAAAATAAAGAATATAAAAGGAATTACAGTATATACAAGGCCTGCGATAAGGATTTAAAATTATTAGCCAGCAAATTGGTATTCAAAAGTATTCGCCAATTTTCAAAAGTCTTTGCCAAATGCAAATTTTTTATGATTAATTTTTTCCCATAGAAAATGTTTTAGGCTTATATAATTTAGACACAATTTTAATTGGTCAAGGTGCATCTACTGAAAATTACTGTAATCAAATAAAAAATATTGATTTGTTCAGAAAAATTCATTTTTATGTAATTTTGAGTATCGAGTTAAATACAGAGTGATTCTAAAAAGATGGGAAAAATTTTAGGACGTGATAGTACACACCCAGACAAAAAATTTTTATCAAAGAATGCATGGTCGAAAACAAAACGTAAAGGTGCTGGCGCATTTGGAAAGTTTTTTCATGCAAACGAGAAAGCTCCATTCGTATTGCGAGTTACTGCGCTACGTTATTTGTCGCCAAGCTTTCGGCCACTGCAGGGAAAGTTCGCCTATCTTTTCTTCACCGTTGTACCAGCATAGCCGCTGCCGGCCACTGTGTTGAACACTTATTGTAATCACATGCCATTAAATTTGCTTTTATAACTTAACTTCATCGTTCTTTGTGTGTTTTTGCCTCATATAAGAACATAAACTTTGACGCCCTCTAGCGGTTTTGGGTTTTGTTTTCGACCATGCATTCTTTGATAAAAATTGTTTGTCTGGGTGTGTACTACCACTTCCTAAAATTTTTCCTATCTTTTTAGAATCATCCTGTATATATATTTCTTTCCAGTGGAAAAATCCTTTGTCACTACTTTCGCTAAAATACAATTTTATTAGCCAAATGTACGATTTTATCACATCTGGTGTGGTGGTGCGGGGCCTTTTAATAGTATGTAGTTGTAATGAAGGGGTAATAAAAAATAAGTTCGAAAAAGGTAGAGTAACAGAAAGAGAAATTAAGCAGAAATAGAATATTTAAAAAAGATATTGACGTGAGGAGGACAATAATAAAGTAAATCAAAAATACGTGAAGGAAAACTAGTTCGAGGTACGAAAATAAAAAATAAAAAATTGATATATTAGATACGAAAATAAGAAGGAAAGCAGAGTAAAAAAAATGATAATAGCAAACCAACTTAGTAAAATAAAGAAAAGTGCAATTTTTCTTCCGATTTGACTTTCTAATTTCAGTTAAGATTAATTATATTTCTTATGCTTAAGTTGGTTTTCAGGCAGTAAGTTAAGACTAGAACTTTCAAAACAGGTTTGTTCAACTGGAACCAATGACTTAAATTAAATGCTGCAAATCTCAAAATGAGCAAAATTTCAGATTAATCAATTAATTAAAATAAATAGATTTCCTCAGATGAAAATTAAGAAAAATCACAACAGAGAATATAATAATAACTGGAAAAAAACATGCAAAAAATAATATAATCCCAGAAAAACAATACTTATTGTTAAAATATTTTTTAAAATTATTGGATATGCTAAAAAATGTTCACGGCAGTGGAAACTTTAATCTTTAATGAGCATGTCGCTTAAAAGCTGAATTAAGCCTGTAATTTTGCAGTAGTACTTGATACAAGTGTTATTGATTTACCAATCGCATTTACATTAAAGATTTTGAACCCAAAATATTTACCTACATATAATATAATATAATATAATATAATATAATATAATATAATATAATAATCTACTACGATATCTGATTTTTTTATTAATCTTTAAAATTGACTGTTATAATTTGTGATCAAAAAATTATTCAAAAGCCCTAGCAATGTTCATTTTTGTGGGAAAATACTGTTTATTGAACTGAAAAACAAAAATAATTAAATATAGAACTAAACAATAAAGAAAATTACTTCAACCATAATGTTATGTCAGAGCAATGTGGTTGGTAGACATCGTCAGATGTCGCGACATCAACACAATGGTCATAACATTAAAAAATAAACTTAATTGTTCATCTGTGTCATAGGCGAATAGGAAAACAGCTCTTTGTCACCCGTTACTGCAATGTCCTAGGCAAATTCAAAAAGTTTTCAGTATGTTTTAATCATCTTAACACTTTATAAGTTTATTGCATTGAGTTCAGATACTCTGTAATGGCACTCTGGGCCTTATAAGAAAATAGATAATTTATTGCTCAATTAGCCTACTATGTTTTTGGCTATTTGCAATCAGCCCAAATACTTTAAAGCTAATTAGAATAGCCAAATTGTCTAACGATTTATTTTTGCCTATAATTAGTCTTGCTCAACTTATGTGATTCATTATCTTTGTCTTTTCAAAGAACCAGCATATTAAGAAATACAGGTTTAACTTCAGTCTCGTGATTTTTTTAATTTCGCTGAAAAGCTCATGAACTGGTAATTATAAGCCTGGAAAATGTCAGGCTAAAAAAGAGGATGAAAGGCTTTTTCAATTATCCTGACATATACCAAAATGATGATGACATTTGCAAGATGCTTCGAGTTTGAGCAGTTGCCTCCTAATGATGTGGTCCAGATTTGAATCGCAGCGATGGCTGGTCGATATGAATTCTAAACTTGGCTCACCCGACCTCCGTACTGATGTAAAATGTATTCTGACTAGTTGACTGATCAAAGGTTAGAATTCCTTGACGTCGGACCAACTGAGGGAGTTATTCGTGTTTTTTCCCTCCACGTAACGCAAATTCGGCTTAGTTCAATTTAAAAGGTATTCCACGAAGGTTAGTTTGAATCAATACTTGATCAAGAAGTTACCTTGTCTTAAGGGGTTTTGTTCAAAATTGAAAATCTATGGAATTGAACATTGAATCGTAAACTCAAAAATGGATCGGCTGTTTAACATTAATTATAAAATAAAATAAAATAAATTGAAATCGGCATAGAACACATTATATGCAATTGCTTTTTTACTTTATGGATTGGAATTTTTAATGTTTATCCTACTTAAATACCATTAATTCTTAATGAAGAAGAATTTTTGTAAATAATATAATTTGAGTTAAAATTTATTTCTTTAAAAAAGCATAAAGAATTTGAATACTTTGCTAAGTATAAAATGTTGAAAACATTGATTATTTTTTATTTATTTCCTGATACCCTACCTTTCGATGTTTCTACGCATTTAGGATGATTGGAAATTACAACCAATAGCATAATTTTTTTTTATATAAGTTGTCGAAATGAAGTAATTAAAATCTCCATATTCTTCTTCATCATCATCAGCCCTACAGCTCAGGGCAGGCCAATAAAACTTTCTCAGTTTGCTTCCTCCAGTCAGTACAATTTAATGCAGGGTTTCTCCACATATTTTCTCAAAAATCCTTTTCTACGTTGACTTCGTAAGTGGTCTGCCTTTCGTTCTGACACCAATTCTTACATTAGGTTTGAATATTAAAATATTAAAGCTGCAGAAAAAAACTAAAATATTCAAAATATTATCGAGAGGAAATTAAAACCATCTATGACCAATTTAATTAGCCAGTGAAGCTAAAAGGCATTCAGTCTTCG